CTTCCACATGCTTCATACAGGTGACGAAGCAAATTGTGTTTCTCAAGATGGCTACCACCGTACACAAATTTGAAGTCAGAGACAATTGACTGTGGTAGTTGTTCTGTTTTCTTTTTGTGATTTAAACAAGACACCCAACGAAAACTCCAATAACTTGGCACAGTGAGATGATCCATAAAAAGTCCAGCTTTTCCTGCCCAATTTGTAGTCCGTTTGGGTCGGGTTTAACTCCCTAAACTACAATTATCTTTCTGTTTGCTTTTCAAGGTTGTATCACGTGGTTTGGCCCACGTGATGGCGTTTCTTGTGTTGCACTCACTTGGGTATCGGAGGAATTCTTTTGGGCGTCAAACACTGGAGAGAAGGGCGCGCTGCGGTCTTTGTGGAACTGAAGATATGGGTGTCAAAAACCCAGTCAGGTCCGCTGCTGACTCAGAATTCTCTTCGCACGATCATCGGTCGTACATGTCACTTCCGGGACTTGTAGCTGTTGGGAAGCGCACACTCCTAAGGTTAGACACAGTGTAATATTTTTTATGGTTTGATTATCATTCCAACAGTTACGAACAACGAATATGTTTTAATGAGGTGGGACGCGACATTTTTGTCAGGTTCTGAACAGTCGAACAGCATAAAAGTACTCGGCTACCTAAATATAACCGGCTTTGGAATACCATACGAAAGTAATCGTCCCAATGAAGAACCTGAAGATACTGCTGGATGATCGGCTCCCGCTTTGCAGTATGAAACAGGAAGCTGTACAACGACAGTATTATTGTTGCTGAAAGGTCAAATTTCTAAACAGGCATTTTTAGTCTAGCGGAAACCAGATTGGGCCGAGATGGTTCGGTCGTTAAGGCACGATCCTACTGACCGGAAGTTTCGTGGTTCGAACCCTACCCCCGGAATTTTGTGTGTAAGTTTGGTCAACCTGACAGCATGTCAGCTCTCGCACTCCCCTCGGGTAGCACGGCAGCTAGGCGCCAAGGGGTTACTATAGCTGAAGAAATTCAGATCGGTCTCAGTGGCACAAATTGGCAATGGAGTAGGTTTTGCATTAGTGGGCCGACCAATGAAGGGGTTGGCGGCTAAATCTATCAAGCAAAGTGATATCAAAAGCTGTTTCAAATTTGATTATCATTTTGTTCACTGGAGTAAATGACATTTCTGATAGGCATCCTAAAAACACAACTCACTCGTGGTTACCTCTAACCTTTACATGGCAGGCGTCTTCCATTACCTTGCGTCCACTGAACAATGAGATACTCAACAAGTTAACAGTCTCTTGTAGGCTTTTTCTAGGCTGTTGTTTACAAATGTTGTAGCTTCATATGTATATCCTACACAATTCTTACAGGTGAGTGTGCCCCTGAATGAAGTGTGATTTCACAGACCAGAAGGTCCATGGTTCGTACCAGACCTCTGCATCTCCACTGCTCATGTCCTGGTTTGAACAACGAAACGCTACCTCAGTCCTCGTGCTTTCTTCGTGCGCTTTCGCCAAAAGCGCAATACAGCTGGAAGATAATTAGTAACAAATAAGCGAGTCCTAAAGTAGAATTTCTGGGGAAAAATATGAGCCCCATAGTTCGCGCAGTAGTGACCCTCAGGTCACGGTCAGATAACATCGCCTAATAACACTGAGTCAGTGCAAAGCAGGAGGCTTTTTTTATGAAGATTTGTCCGGTAAGTAGAACCAATCAGCGCTGAAATGTCGCGAAGCACTGTACAACTCTTTCATTCTTATTGGGAATCATCAGCAGTGCGCATCTCATGCAACTTGGAAGGATTCGAACCCGCGACCTTCCGGCCAGTTGTTGAACACTTAACCGTTCGGTTGATGAGCCGTGTGATTAGCTCTTACTTAAACAAAACATATGGCCACTCATCTTCCATTTGGGGAAACCACGTCACGTGGTAACGTATTGGATGGTTCTTCGAGTGACGACCTATCAGAGGGAAGTTTCACTCATCTTGTGAAGTTATCCTTCCTCTGAGCTACTTATGGGTTGACGGTAATGGTTGGATATCTGGTCATTTTCAAAAGATTTTTCGTCCAGGGCTCTCCACGCTTCTATCTTATTTGTAAATTTTCTGCGATTTACTCGGTCATTGAAACCGGACCGGTTTATGCCGGGTCAGTTTATTCATTGGCATCACTGAGGAAGTACATGAGACCACCAAGGTTTCCTCATCCAAGAGTGGTGAGCAAAAATGCTGAAGAGAGCTGCCGAAGACTCGGATGAAATACACAGTCCTTGGGTTTTTTCGTGGAAGCTGACATCCATCACCGTCTTTCGACATGGACCAAACAGTTTCGCACTGAGTTTTGGCAGTTCCGTCCACTGCTGCTAACACTGCGGGTGACTGAATATATCGTGGAGAAAGGTGTGCGTCAACCTGAACGCAGACGGGATCCACTGTAAACTTTCCAACTACTACAGGACAAAGCGCCACTTGTCCTTCAATTCTTTCAACGAGTTTTCATTTCTGTGTCGGTTAACCTGTCCGGAAATCCAGGGCAAAGTTTCGGCAGAAAATAAACGCTGGTCATTGACTCCGGACGCACCCGGCTGTAGGACAGCTCTGTCTCACGGCAAACAATGCACTTGGTGGAGAGTTCTCTTGAGGATATTATTCCCACACCGATTCGTCGCGGATAATAAAAAGTTTCTAACCACACCTTATCACGAATGATTAGCAATTGTCAAACAACCAGAGTTGTCTAGTTTGATACCTTTTCGAATACGGGTTAACTGTGAAAATTACTAGGTGATAACCATCTGTCAAAATGCGTCGAACCCGGGAAGTGAGACAGGCCAGGATAGGATGTGAATGGTATCTACACAGGCGGAAGTTGGTTAACTATGACAGATTTGGTTCTGTCACAGTTAACCGAGATGGCTCAAGTGGTTAGAGCGCGAACTGACTGACCGGTAGGTCCATGGTTCGAATCCGACCTCTGTCTCTCGATGTACCCTGTCTAGACAACCTGGTAGTATGCTAGCCCTCGTGCCTCCTTCGCGTGCATGGCAGTTAAACACCGCAAGGGTGCTACAGCTGAACGATTTGGGTTCTGTGTACAGTGATGTAAGCAGAGAACTTATATATGCGCAAGTCTGTAAATTCCACGGTAAGAGTAACCGCCACCGATCGACAGAGGAAGGATGCTTACACTCACGCCGGTCTGTCAGTGGCTCTCAAGCTACGCCAGCATATCAATAATTCGTGATCACTGCATTTGAGGCACTGAGTGGATACATTCAAAGAGAAAGAGAGCGGAAGAGGAAAAATTTAGAGAGTTCCCTTGATGGAAACAAGTTAATGAGGAGACGAATGTCGTATCAGCGGTTCGGTCAGGAAAACGGTCAGCAATGATCAGTGATGCGTTACCCAGTTATGGCATATTCCCGATCTTTAAACTAGATCTGAGAGAAGCCTTAGGTTTCTGTCTCGGGACGAGACTGCTCAAACGGTTAGAGTGTGTGTCCGCAAGGTTCGTGGTTCCAACCCAACCTTTGCCTCTCGACTTCCCCTGTCTAAGCTTAGGGAATCTGGCAGTTTCCCAACCCTTGTGATTCCTTTGGGTAGCATGGCAGCTAGGCACCGAAAGGGTGTCAGAGCTGAACTATTTTCTTCTCTATTCCTCCCCTCTGTCGGAAGTCGTGATGTAATTTTAACGGCGCATGAGGTGGAACGCTTCTTTTACTTTGTGAACTTGGCGATGTACCAGCTGAAGATCGATCACTAAGTTTTAAAACTTCTCAAAGCTGTTTTGGGTGAATTTGAGTGGGCGACTGTTGTATCGTGGGTGGCCGTCTATTGGTTACGCCTGCACTGAGTCCGCCAGACTACGCGATAAGGAGAAGACAGAGAACTCGGGACACGGCTTTATTGTCCGGACAAAACATTCAAAGCTTCTGCGTAAATATATAGGATGACTAAGTGGCCAAATATGGTCGTTCACTTGTTCACTTTGTACAGCCAATGGCGGTGTTCCGGTCGTGAACATTTTCAGCCCCACTCTACTGGTCTTATGTTGCTAAGCCGTGTTTGGCGAGCTTCTCCAACGCACCTGCTTTCCGGACGAGTCGTACCGACCTTGGGGATGCGTCAAGCTCTGCATATATACCTTTTCCACGTCTCGGCGCGTTCTGACAGTGACTTATTCACTAATCCGCTCTAAACTTCATGAGAAAAGACGAAAAGACGAAAAGACGAGCCGCTCGTGCAGATGCGGCTCATAGAAGGCTCTGCGGCTGACAGGCAACAACGATATGTCTGCTTCTGAACAGATAAAACCAGTCTAATTGACAGGACACAAGACTTATTTTTCTCGTCAGCAATCAGTGATCTTTAGAACTGCAAAAACGTGACTTGTGGATGTCCGCTTATTGGTTACTTGTGAATGATTGTTACTCACTCGCTTGAGATGGAATCAGTGTCATCCTCCAAGAGCGGATCTGTGAATTACAAACATTTCGACGGAGCAAGTCCAGTAACTCACAGTTGAAGCCTCGTGTTGATAGATAGGGCTAATCCTAAAACCTAATTCTGTCGTTTTTAAAACTGAGTTGTCTGGTACGAACTTTCACACTTCGATGCCAACTGATGGAGTGACAAACAGCTTGAATATATGACCTGGTGCGAGATGGTCCAACTAGTTAAAGCGCGAATTTACTGACCGCAAGGTATGACCTGGAGATGGTCCAACTAGTTAAAGCGCGAATTTACTGACCGCAAGGCTCATGGTTCGAATCCAACATCTGCCTCTCGACTTCCTTCCCCTAGGCTTGGGCAACCTGGTAGTATCCTAGCCCTCGTGCTTCCTTCGTGTGGCATGGCAGTTAGGCATCGAAAGGGTGCTACAGCTGGGTGATTGTTTATCGTTTTATTGAACATATAACCAGGGTTCCATATTCGTTTAGCATCTTTCTAGATCCACGGTGCACGAGGCGAAATAACCTTTCCGACTCAAAGTGTGCCAGTCGTGCTGGCGGATAAATCTGCGTGTCGCCTGAGCCTGGTAAATAATTGGCTAGAGAAAGGGGAACTTTACTCGCCAATTCGAAGCAAGCAAAATCACGTCAGCCATTGAATTGTGCAAAACACCTTGCCAGAAGTGGTCGGTTAGTAACAACGAAACGGATAGTGAGTTTCCACCGTGATGACACGACGATCAACATGGTAGAATGTCTGTGTACTCTCCCGCCCAATCGCAATGTTTCTTTCGGTTTCGGAATACGACTGTAAAGACAACACTTAATTTCACTGGTTTCGCAAGAGTCGATGTAACCTCAAACCAATAATAAACGTTAATTTCAGGAACTCTGTGAAACATCAAACGGCATCTGGGCAGCACATTTCCCCGGAAGGTTCTCCAACGAGGCGTTATCGTCCAAAGGATTCATCGAGAGCACGACCGGATTCTGGGTACAGCACTTTTGGTTGTTCCGGGGGAAACGCCGAGCCAATCAGACCGTACGTTTCCGAAACATCTCCGATAGAGTCACGTGCGGTTTTTTCCGCTGAGAACACATCAACACTGAAGATTTTCACAAGACAAGATTCCGTAGGAAGCCAAAAATCTTTTTCTGCTCAACAGGATACTTCAGTTGAAGATGAACTCGAGTTTTCAGATGCCGTTCCATCAGAGGCGTTCGAAAACCTCGATCTAACCAATAGAGAGACGAGGGGGAGTTCCACAACCGTTCCAGATAAATCGGTGAGGAGTTTTGTCAGTTATGAATGACGTAATATTTCTGACCCGCTCCTGTCATCCTTTTGATTCCCGATTAGCAATTTATTCGAAATATGCTGAGCGTAGAATCGATGAAGTTCAATAGTAGGGAGGTACTGATTTCGCAAAAAAAATTGAAGGTAGGGTCTCTAACCTGATGGGCAAAATTTCTCTGAGGTAATCCTCGGTTTTCGATTAATACAATTTCAAACGGGAACTGAATGTCAGAAGTAGCTGGAGAGAGGGACACTTTAGACAATACTAAACAAATAATCATTCCAATCAAGCCCAAAATATGGTACCGTGCTCCAGGATCTTGAAAAGTTTTTCTAGTAAACTTGACCACTAGGTAAGAAATAACTCTTTTCTGGGATTTTTCCACATTGAGTATCCTCTCTACAGGTGATAATAAAGAGAAAATTCTAGCCTTTACAAAAATCTGGTTAGTCTTGAGTATTCCGTGGTGGTGAAAAGAAGAAGACCTTTGCTGTGGAGTTACTTATTGGAAAATGCCAACTGACCGATTACGGACCATTTGACAGGGAAGCAAAACTCTCATTTGCATCTTATTTACAAAAACTGGACACCCATCTTCTCCTGAAGGCATCTTCTTGAACTTTTTCGGATATTCATTGAATCCAATCATTCATTGCTCAAATCCAAGCAAATGTTACAAAGCAACTGCAAAAATTCCGCAACGGATCTCCCCTTTTCAAGAGACGCAAAGCGAAATTCCAAGGACAACACGTACTACTCGCATGCCTCCCTATCAGTATTACCACCGTTACAGTGCTAGTCAACCAACAACACCTTTGCTGCTATTCTTGTAAAAATCTCCAGCACGCTGCAAAAGTATGCACTGAGATATTGTGAATAGAGCTCATTCGCACGAGCACTAATCGTTCATCTCTGGTCTCTCGTTCAGAGGGAAACTGATGTGTACAAACATCATGTGTGACCTCACAAACGAACGTCTGTGTCAGCCCTATTCCACAGGATACAGAAGTGACGTTGATCACCTGAAGGGTTTGGAACTCGACAGTTTGAGCGTCTTACTGGCATGTGTCGAAATCAGCGCAGATCCTCTGGACAGAGGTTCAAATTGCTTGCTCTACTGTCATGAAAGCTAGCTAATTTTCTTTCGCTTTTGAAGTGTATAAAATTCTAAAATGACCGAACAAGTTTCCGCGAAAGCGAATACTTGAATTTCGGTCTCCTAATTTCAGCTAGAGCTCCTAAAGTCCATGGCGAGCGCTTCTGATTAGCACGTTAGTTGAAGGGCACTTACCAGGACATTTACCGAGGTGCAGGGTAGACCAATCGCTCCTTCTCGGACATATGTGAAACTTTTCACCTTTTCGGACAAAAATTCACATGCATCCTGAATGGGCTGGTGGATTAGTGGAAACACCCTCTTTCTGCGTGTTCGGAGTTGAAATCCTGACACGCCCGAGGATATACACTGCCATAATAAGAGTGGAACTCGTGTCCAGGGCTTCGCCCTTTAGTGTAAACTAATCAGTATAGTCGTATCAGGACGTGAACAAGAAAACGTTCGGGCTCGAACCTGAGGACGTTTCTTTCGAAGAAGCGTAGGTTTCTTTAAAAAATGACAGAATTTAACTTTGACACAATTAAGACAAAAATGGTAGGTTTCGGGTGAACGGTTCTTAAAATAATAGGGAAGATAGTCTGTAGTCATCGTGACCACCGATCGTTACGTGTCTGAGGACTGTTTGCCTTGTGGATCCCTCTTCTCCAGCCTTTAACCGGATGAAGATGACTCATTGGCGGTTACCCCATGACTTGGAAACGAAGCGCGAGTGTCCTTACCAATAGATTCATTTGCCTTGGTACTAGTCGTTTCCACAGATGGGGACCACGGGACTAGCTTCCCTGATTGATACAGTTGTGTCACGTGACTGATGGCACTCCTACAGTGAAGTTACCGCCTCCACTACACAGCTCTCACTTCTTGCCATACCTGGCTAACAAGACTACTCGACTTCAATGGCTCTCATGCATTTTATAACCTTATTTCTGGTGAACGAAGATGTGGCAGCTGGAGCCACTACACCCTGGGTGCCCTTTTTGTAAGCTGCAAAAAACTGAAATGACTCAACTGACGTATAACATAAGTGGGAAATGTGAGTACACCTAGCGGACCGGATACCGTACGTATGGCAGAACAATACATTACAGTTCATAAAGTTAGTCATATAAGGAGAACCAGCTCCGCACGTAACGGGACTACATAGCCAATGAAATAACCGTTTTCGTTGAGACAGATTTCATTGATTGTTCTTCACCCGACCTTGACAGATGGGTTGTTTGCTTAGTATCACTTTTGACCCGCTTGTACGCGAAATTGGTCAATAGACCAGCCGGCTCGCACGTTTGATGACTTTTCTGGTTTGGTTAAGCGCACCAAGCCATCAATCGACTATTCAGACAGGGGCTTACAGCAATAAGAAGGCATTCAGGAGACTGTGGTCCCAAGCGCACCGAGTTATCAATCGACTATTCAGACCGGGGTTCACAGCAATAAGAAGGTATTCAGGAGACTGTGGTTCACAACAAGTCACTAATAAAATAACGACCGTGTGAGTTAGCTACCATCCGGCCGATACTCTTTAGCCAGCCACTATTGAACGTCCGTGAGTAGCTTGAACAAATCCGATGATATTTGCAAGACTTGTTTGAGCTTAACGTCACTATAAAGGCTGATGAACTGAAGGGTGTCTTCGAGCTCTGGGTGGCTTACTACTCAACACTAAGTGCGTGATTACACGCTATCAGACATGAAAGTAATAACCCATTCTTACTGGTCATTTTTTTCAAATTACCTGGACTTTGGCTGGGTGCTAAACCATGGTAATGGAAAAAACGCTTCATATCAACCTTCCATCAGATGCAGGGACGGCGGTTTAGACTACTCGGCCAGATACTACTTATATGCCTCATCAGTAGTACGTGCATCTACAAAGGAAAACAGGACGCAAACTCCATTGGCTGCATGAGTTTGGTCGTTTGTGTCCCTGTACAACTGGGTGTTTTCGTCAGTGTAAACACGGTGACTCATCGCTGAGCGGTGAGCTCTACTCTGCAGGCGGTAGTCGAGCCTACCCTGTCTGCTTAGATCAGTCCACTAGAGAGAAAGCAGACGACAGGCGCTGAAGTTCTAGTGGGGCCGGGGTATGACGCGAAAAGGGAGTCTATGATAAAATTCATGCTAAAAAGCAGATGACAACAGATGACGAGTGCATATTTCCAGCCAATCAGACCCCCCTGGCCTGTCAGTCCACGCGCACAGTCGGTGATGATGGTAAAACTGAAAGAAAAACTTGTAGGTGTTGTAAAGGGTATCTTGCCAGTTCATGACGCAATTGTCAGTCTCAGGCTTGGTGAGTTAGAGGAATCAAGGGGCAGCACGTCTAACGGAGCGATTCTGGAAGGTGGGCAAACATCTGGTATGGTGGGTATTGGCCTTGGAACTATCTGGCTTTGTATATCTGACTCACATTCAACATTGACGGGAGATAATGCTTTCCAGCCACTTGAGTGAACTGCTTTAGTGTTTCCTTTTAGGGTGTGGGATTTCGTAATCTGGGACGTTAAACTTCATCCCTGCACAGTACTGAAACCTCAGAGATCTGTTATCTGGAAATATAGCATATAAGTGACCGTGCGATTTACGTTTCTCAGCTATTTGTAAGGGGATGTTGCGACGGGCAAGCAGAAAGTTTTGCACTAAATCTTCTGATGTTCCTTCCCTGTTTAACACGGTCAAAACTCATTTGAGTTGGCCAACTGAACGTTTTACCTGGTCATGTGACTGAAGGTCATACAGATGGTGACCTATATTTTGAAAACGGAAGTGTCGAGAGACTACAGACACGAACCAGACATGTTCCAGTACCGAAAACTAATGATTACGGATGGTCACACT